ATTTTGACCTTTTCAAAATGAGCTTCCCCCTCCCCCCCTAAGAAAGTGGAACATAAAATAAATGTTTGCTACTTTTCCAGAGGAGCCAAATTCCATGCATTCTGGCTGCTTTTCACTGACACAAAAATTATTCCAAAATAATTTGTCATTATTTATAAAAATGACACTGTATGTTACTGTAACAATAACAGCTAACTTGGCCTTTGAAAGTTACATACTTTCTCAAGAAATTTCAGCCTAATAGGCAAAACACTGATCCTGATGACCTTGGGAAAATACAACCTCAAGAAAGCAGATGATATTTGTGATTATTTTGAAATCTCCTGGCTGGAACAGGTTCCCATTGAGGCAATATATGCTGTGTCACACCCCATGGAGGGGTTCTCTTGCTTGCCCTGTCTTCAGCCTGGGTCCTGAAGAGGTAAAGAAGGAGCAGGGACAGCCTTTGTCCCCTCTGCTGAGGAGTTCCCTGGGGAAGAAAAATGTGCTATGCATATAAAAATCTGTGTAACTGTTGTCTGATTGTCTGCCTGGTGATGGGACTAAGCAGAATTGGGGTGGGTACCAACCCATGCCGTATAGGCTTGGTTCCTCTTCCCTGGTAGCGTGACTGAGCCTTGGGAAAGTCACTTAGTGGGATCATTGAAAAGGCTTGATGATCTGCTGAACTCTTTCTTGTCTAGTTTCCTTTGTCTAGGTTGCCTCAAATTATAACTGAGCTTTATTATTTTTATACATGCACAACTTCTTAAATCCACACAGATGACACTTTTTGTGCTGAAAATGCATTACATGCTTCTCAGACCTTGCAGCTGGTTGAGCACCAATGAAGGAAATAAATTTGGTAACTGAGCTGGGAAAGAAAGGTGCTTGGAGATGCAGTTTCTAATGCTTTCTTGTAGATATTCCCATCAGATCATACAAAGAACTCTTCCTGTCTATATTAAGAAAGAAACAGGAGAATATAACATTTTTAAAAAGTCTTTTGAAATTAAAACCTTTGGGAGTTTTATTAAATGTACTGTGAGAAAAATGTGTAGTTCACTTACAGCTATTGACCTGAGGTTTATACAGTCTTGCCAAGTCCTGGAGTGAATATAGCTTTAATGTTGGAGCATTTGTTCAGTGCATTTTTTTAGGCTGAAGCAATCAGAAAATACATACCTAGAGTCCACATATATACTAAAAAGGAAAGGTTTGGATTGAAAGTAATGAATATGATTTGTTTAAAACTTGCAGTTCTCTCAAGAGAAAATTTTCAATCAGTCCCATGAAAATTCAGGAGTTTTCAAGGACTTTGTGGGACGACGATGAAGAACAGCACTTAAAAGTCTGCATTTTGATTGACATCCCATAACATGTAGGCGTTATATGGGTCATTTCGGCCTCACTCATGCTGGATGCTCTGTTTCACAGACTCCCATGCTGCATTCTGCTAAGATGCACTGGAGAAGCCTCAGCAGAGCTACGATTCCTCATCATGTACGTCCTTCCTCTTGTTTGTAAGTGCAGCGCACACCCGCTCGCCCACTGCTTTTCCCCGTTCATTTGTATTCCTGCGTGCCCAGGTGCCGATGTGCCAGGGAAGCCACGCCGCTCCCCGCTGTCGCTCGCCTCCGTGTAGACAGAGTAAACATTAAGCAGGTGGAAATCAGAATTATTTCAAATAAATGCCAGAGCTATTGCAGTGAACACGACTACAAGTGCAGACAGAGGGCGGTATTCCCAAAGCATTCTTCTTATGACTTTTTATTTTTCTTTTTCAAGGCAGAAAAAAAATAAATAAAAAGACATAAGATGAAAGCTGAGCACTCTGGTTCCAAGATGTGATTTGTGGAACATTACACAATAGCCTCAAATTGAAACAGAGGATGTATTATTGCATGTAATGAGAGGGGCTGGGAAGGAAAACTATACAAAGACAGAAAAACATGTCTAGAGTGCTAGGGCTGGAAAAATTCTCCAGAGAGAACATCACAAAAACTGACCTCATGATGGCCTTTAGTACAATTCAGAGTTGTAAAGATATGGCAAATTTTTTTTCTAACTCTGAGGCTCTTTGTGGAACTACTGTAATAGAAATGTCACTGTTTTAAAGCAAAATTAGTTAAAAATGTTTCTTAGATGGACATTTAAAATTATTCTTCCTGTGTTTCAGTCTTTCAGGTAATTTTGTCTGTATTTGAGGACACAAAATTTTCATGTAGATTGGGGGTAGTTCTGTACATTTTGGGCACACCCATTGCAGGTCCTTAACTCTGTCCTGTGCTCACTTCACACCACAAAGAGGGACATTACACTGATGACCTAAGCTTGTTCTTAGGAATGATTTTTTTCTCCTAATAAAACACAATGGCTTCTTTTAAGCACTATTCTATGAATACATCCTCCATTTAGACACCTTGTATTTTAAGTGTAATTTTTCCTACTTCAGAACTCTACCACCAACAGGAGAAAATATGCATCAGTGCTCATCACCTCTAGTGCTAATTGTATTTGCTGTTATTTGAGAGTAAATAATATGTAGGTGTGTATTTCTGATATATCCCCAGCAGCACTTTCTGTCAGTAATCAAACTGGAAGCAATGCATTTCCTTTTTTGAAGAAAATGTATTTTTTGTCAGCAAGTATGTCAGTAGTTTGTCCATCCTAGTTCCTTTATCTGGGATTGTTTGTCTTGGATGCCTTTAAAAATTCCAGTGATTTTAATCTGTTTTAAATTATCCTCACTAGCTTCAAAGCCATATGAAATACTGTTCCACCCATAAGTGAGTTTGGTCACCATGAACAGGAGAAGAGAAAATAGTAAGGATCAGGTAAGAGAACTGGGCACAAAACTGGAGTGAAGATAAAAGGTAACTATAGAGACAGGGATTTCCCCTGGTAAAGAGGAAATAAATTACCACCATGACTCAATAAATTTGGGCAAAGGTTCTAGTCTAGGATCGATTTCTAAGGTCCCTGTCTATAACACTTCTAATTGACAGGCTGGTGGTTTTCAATGTGAGTTCACTTCCAAATGCAACAGAAATAGCAGTAACAGGGGTGGTATAAAATACAGATTGATTCATCCAAGTGAGGTAACTGGACTTAGAAAAAGAATCTCTCTAGGAAAAGCTGTCTCCTGTAGTGTAGCTCCATCAGATGTAGGGACTCTGGCAAGGAGGAGTTTGACCATCCCATTTAATTATGATGACAAACTAATCTTGCATTAGGGGATCCAGTCTACTTCACTTGTGTCTTCTGAACATTGCAGGAGAAATGCTTGGCTGTCATGGGTTCCATAAAAGCCCTGAACACAGCTTCTGCCCCCTGTGGAAAGTCCCTGCTTGCAGGCACTGCAGGAATTACAGCTGGGAGGAGCACTGGCTGCTACGGAAGGTGTGAGAAGGTGTCCTGAGAGCTCACAACAGGGCCATGAACCTGAGCAGACACTCTCATGGGGAATGGCAGCTTGAGCAGAAGTGTCTGAAAGAGAGGACTGCCATGTAAAAGGAGGACATGAAGTAGCCTTCTTTTTGCCAACCTGAAGGTGAGGCTTAAGGAAAGACCCAACAGGGTTGTTAAGGCAGGCTAAATAAAAGTGGTGAGAATCCCAGTTTTATTGCACCTCATTGCAGCCAGGGTGAACCAAGGGATCAACATTTTGGAGATGAAGTTTTGGCATGCTTGTGGAGATTCCACTTTCTCCCCTTAGAGCATTGGCAAAGAGATGAGGTTTGCTGTATCTCTTTCGGTCTGTTGGATCCATTGGAGAACACTTCTCCCAGGAAATCCAGATAAGTAATGGCAGAAGTTGCACCCAATGCTAGACCCTTCTGCTGGGTCAAGAGACAGGATGTGTCTGGCACAGCTGGGAGGGAGGGAGGGATGGAAGGCTTTGTGTCCACTGCTCAGTGTTTGGGCCCTTTTGCCAGCCTGCAGTGAGCTCACATTTGTAACTCCTGTGGTGCACAAATGTCTGTAACACTAAACACTTACTGGATGAGCTTTGCTGGGTACCCAGTGTTGCAGAAACATCAGTGAATGCTCAGAAATGCCATTAGGACCCTTCATCACAGCAGTTTCTGGTGACAGAGAACACTGGATTATTAAGCTTGCTGTGTCTCATTCTGACTACAGAAAAACTGTGCACATTTGTGCCTGCCATGCTCGAGTGAGTGCATGCTGCTGCTGTGGAGAGGCTGTGTGCGCCTAGGTGGAGCCCCAGACCATCATAAGTACCTCACTTAATACCTGGGCTGTGTTGGTACCCTGAAGAGTATTGAAATCAATCCCATCAGGATGCAGAGATAGACAAGCAGTACAAAAAAAAACAAAACAAAAAAAATGTTACAAAATCACACCAATTCTTACCGGGCAAATTTTATTTTTCTTTTTTTGGGTAGAACTGGCTTAGTGGCACATCTCTTCAACTGTGCAGAAGTGGGTGAGATTTAGATGATCAGATAAAAGGTATCCTTATCAGTCTTCAAGGCAAAAAAGTCACACAGCTAAGTCACTTGCAGGTGAATGCTGAGAAGTAAGTTTTACCACATTCAAAAAACCAAAACAAAACCCAAACAAATCAAGAAGGGAGAAATACTTGGTGTTGCCAGTGCTCGGCTGCAGTGCCACAGCTGTTTGACACACATTTTGACAAGTTCAGTTCTATTGCTGTGCCCCTGATGTGCCCCTATGGGAGACATGCAGCAGTGTGGTGGTGCTGTGTCATTTACTTCTGGGGCACTTGTGTGAGGGAGGGATGGGCACTGTGCAGTCACTGACAAAACTGACTTTTAAAAACAGGGGTTTTCTGGCTTTTTTACCAGTTTGAGTGAAAATGATCAAAAATTTAGTCCTTTAAAAAAAAAAAAAAGGTTGCTGACCATTGTACCGGAGTAACTGATGTAGAGGAAGGAGCCTTTGTAACTACTGGAGTTCACAGACCCACGCTCACAGAACGGGTCAGGCTGGAAGGGACCACAAAGGCTCATCTGGCCCCAGCTCCAGGCACAGGACTGCACTACCAGGTAATGTCTTTTACTGCTTCGAGGAATAACAACTGAATGGTCACTATCAGCTGCGATGGCAAGGGTCCAGCGCTGTCGTGCAAAACCATTTTTGCCCAAGTTCGCGCTCCAGTGCAGACGGCGCAGCCTTCAAACCCTCACTGTCGGTCTTTATGTTCCTTGTCCAAACGAGGGTGACTCTGGTGCGAAGAGGCAGCGTGTGCGCGAGGGCCGCGCCCCGCAGCGTCTCTGTGCGGCCCGGGGAGTGCCGGCGGTCCCGCAGAGGGCGGCGGGCCCGGGTCGCTCCCGCTCTCCCGGGGCAATCCCGGCTTTTCCCGGGCCGCGCGCTCCGCCCCTCGGCGCGCCGGGCCCGCGGTGCGCGCGGCGGCCGCCAGGGGGCAGCAGAGCGCCGCGGGAGGCGCGCGGGGCCCGAGCCGCCCTCAGCCCTCAGCCGCCCCTCAGCCGCCCTTCCTCGGCCCTCAGCCGCCCCTCAGCCGCCCTTCCTCAGCCCTCAGCCGCCCTTCCTCGGCCGCCCTTCCTCAGCCCTCAGCCGCCCCTCAGCCACCCCTCAGCCGCCCTTCTTCATCCCTCAGCCACCCTTCCTCAGCCGCCCTTCCTCGGCCGCCCTTCCTCAGCCCTCAGCCGCCCCTCAGCCGCCCTTCTTCATCCCTCGGCCGCCCTTCCTCAGCCCTCAGCCGCCCCTCAGCCGCCCTTCTTCATCCCTCGGCCGCCCTTCCTCAGCCCTCAGCCGCCCCTGGGTGCCGGCCCTGCCGGCAGCAGCCCCCGGCGGGAAGGGTGGAGCGGCCGCGGCTGCCGGGGTCGGGCCCGGCCATCCCTCCCCCGCAGCGAGCCCATCGCTCCGCGCTCCTGCCGGCGTGTGGCAGCGCCGTGAGGGGCCGGCCGGCGGCCCAAGGCGTCGCTTTGCCGCTCGGACACTTGGAGCGTCCCGCTGGAGCTGCCCTCCCCGCGGGCAGCCGCGCCACGCTGCCCCGGCGCTGTTCGGCGCACAACCATCGCCTTGGGACCGTGCCCCGCGATTTGACGTTTTTGTTTCTTGACAACTTTGTACGTCTTTTTAGCAGGTTTTGTTTTGGACAGAGGTTTTCTGCGTATTTACTGTCTCTTCTAAACCAAGTGCAATGTGTAATATTCAGATGCGTTGTGAATAAGCAGAATTTGTTAGCTTGTTAAAATTAAGTGATTCCTAGTAAGCACAGGGTATAATCCTATACTTAGACTTCTGACTCTCATTTATTTCGCAGCACAACTTTTTGTCTTGGGCACGCACTTCAGCGCAGCGCTACAAATTAATCTTTGAGGTGAGACACTGCGTTGCCGTTGGCAAAGGAAGCTTGCTTTTGTAGTAGTAGTGACTAATTTACACGCCTGCCCCCGCTCTCTTTCTAGCCTTCTATTCATAAGCAATATATCAAGGGTGGACCAATGCCAGCAGAACAGTCTGTCTTCAGGAAAGATACTAGTTTTTTTTTTTCACCCTTGCTTGACTCTCTACTTGTGCTGGCACAGAAAGTCTGTCAGTACAACCTCCATCGTTACCTTATTTTTCCTTGTTTCCTTTTCTCCTACTCCAGTTCCCTCCAACCCTTCAACTTCTTCCTGATAAATATCTTGATGCTGAGGAAGGCGCTAACAGGAGTTTGTGAGTGTTTTAATTTAGAAGTCATTCTTTCTGAGATTGATTTCGAGGAAGCAAAAGTCCCTTTGTAACTGTCACTTGAATATTTCACGTCTGATACAAATGCCTTGTCTGCTTTGCTCAGGTTTATTACGAGCTGCTCTGTAGCCACAGAAGTCCTCAGGCTTCTTGCTGAAATTGCACCCAGACATCCCTTTCTGCAAGGCGAGGGAGAAAGGAGGTCCACAGGAGTTCATGTTAACAATGACTCTAAATGCCCATTTCCCACACATCTTTGCTAGTACAAACAGCAAAAATAGTCCACTTGCACAGAATCTGATTCAGCTTTCTTGCATTCTGCAATAACAGATGGATTGCTAGACTGTTTACTGTTGCTTCCCACAAACTTCCTGTTAGTAAACTCCTGTATTATTTATGAAACAAAAAAATTACAAAGAAGTATGTTAGCTTATTATTGCCTGCTGGTGAACCACTGCCAGAGAAACTTTTTATACAAATATGCTTATGGGAGCAAGGATCCTTTCTGAGGCAGTTGCTGGGGTATTATTATTATTATTTTTACAATCGTTTGTTTCACAGTTTCCTGTGACCTATTGTGCTGTGCTCCTGATGTGGATATTTCCTGCACTCAGACATTTGCAGTTGAGTCGAGGTATCTGTGAATGTGTAAAAGAGCGAGGGGAAAAAAAAAAAGGCAGCACACATACATGTTACAGAGATCAGCTATGAATAAGAATTATTTAAAGCCTTGTTGCTTTGCAATGACAATGATGAATGAGATTTTACTAATGTGGTATTAATCTCTACTGACCTAGTTTAGGAAGCTGAGTGTCTCAGAGCTTTTTGACAGAAAACAGATAATAGTGCTGTATTGACCACTTCTGACATAAGTAGACAGTAAATGTGAAGAAACTTTATTTTCCTCCCAGAATGGCTGTTAAATGCCACAAAACAGAGGAGCCGAGAGGAGCACTTTGTTTGCACTGCATACCATAGATTAGACTGATTTCTGACTCTCAGTGTTGTGAGAGAGGAGGCCAGTCTGAAATCTGTCTGTACAATTTTATCAACAGAGCTAGTGAATTTTAAAAATCATCTGTAATAAAAAAGAGCAGAATGTAATGCAAAAATATGAAATTTGTATATTAACAAAAGTACTTTTAGGGTTTTTAGAAATAACACTTGACCTAAAGTAATTATGTTTTTTTTAGATTGTTGCTATTCATTGAGATTCTGTTCTATTTATGTATTCTGTATGAATGAATTGGCTGCTCCACCTGATACTTATGATTGTAGTCATGCATTATATATACACACAGAAACAGAATGAAATTTTTCCTGATCTGAGACGCAGATAATTTTTCCTCAAGATTTTTTATTTGGTTCCCTAAACCAAAACTAAAACTCAAACCAGCACTGCAGAGCGAGCACTTTCTAACGTTAGGCGTGCTACATGGATCATTCCTTGCACAAGGTTTAACCAAAAAAAGCTGCTGTGTATTGTAGGCAACTGCAGGATTCTGATTAAATCACCGCATACCTTTATAAGATCTTTACTTGCAAAAAAACTGGTATCAGATGGAACAGGGCATTTACTGATCCTGGGGCAGAGCTCATTCCTGAGTGTTTGTGTGAGACGGCGTCACGTAAGCGATCACTCCTTTCAAGTAATAGTAAGAATATGTCTTCTCTGAGCAAACTCTTTTCTCTGCCTCCTCAAACACCCTCGCTCAGCTCCTGCTGACAGAAACAGAATTCAATAGTATTAAGGCAGATGATCAGTGGCACTATCTCCTGATGCTTCAATCCACCAACAAGAATCTTGTGACAGATGTTTCTGCACTTTATGCAAATAGGAACTTCATGGATCAGTTTGCTTTTCCTCCACGGAATATATGCAGCTGGAAAACAGAAATCCAGCTCCACGGCACAAAGTAGGGGAAAAAAAATATGCCGCTGACCAAACAGGCAGCCAGGAGAAAGCAATCTGTAGATGTGAAATCAAATAATTAAACTGCTGGTTCTCAGGATCATTTCTGGGCTAAATCAAGTAGTGTATGTGATGATACAGGTTTGTGGGCTCTTTCTGCAACAGTGCTGTGGCTCACAAGTAATTTCTGAAACAGGAAAAAGAGATCTATTCTGTGTTGTGTATAATGTTTCCTCATAAATGTTTTTCTTTCTTTTACCCTTTCTGATATGCTGTTTCCATTCTCACAGTAGTCGTGGATAGCTGTATTAGATGTGATTTGTAAGTGTATTAAAATAGTGGAGTTTGCACATGAAGAAAGAGTTTCAGCCTATTATATGTAATAAATAGGGTATAGACATGTATATAAACTGGCTGGGTTTAGGTATGTTCTTTATAATAGCACGGAAAACTGGACATGTGAGAATGACTGATGAAAAGAAGAAGATAATAATTTCCTTCCTGCTGGTTGAAAGGAAAAAAATAACCCTTAAACTTAGTGAATTAGAGGAGGTTCTAAGGCAATGTAGTTTTATAAATTATTGCGTAATATATAAAATCATGCCATACGGAAGAGCAGTAGAATGCCACCTATTATAACCCTGGAAAATAATGAAAGGTGATGATCCTAAATGCACTTATTTTTAAAAAGCTATTTTTATTACTATTAATACATAAAATCAATACCATGATTTTAGACTGATTTGTTCTTCTGATTTTATTTATTTCTTTGAAGATTTCTGTGGAAGTATTTTTTATCAACAGACATCAGAATAAATCTCATGAGTTGTTAGACAACATCTGTATCTTATTTTCTCGGTGAGGCTTTTGTTAATTTTGTATATTTTAGGTGTTTTAAAATCTCTTCTGGGTCACAATTTTTTTTTTCAATATTTTCACTTAATACTTAATTCAAAGCCTGTATCTGGTACCGTGTGAACATTCAGTCAGGATCTATGATACATTTTATTTATAAATACACAAAGTCTGGTTTTGTGTCACGGTATTGTCTAGAACCTTGTCTTCATTTCATGACTAGTCAAATTCTGGGAAAAGATCTTTATTCAATTCAGATGTACTACATTATTTTCTTCAAAAGCCCCCTTCTGTACTTCTTCTAGTTAAATTTACAATAAACATTAGTGATTTTACCTGGATTTATTTTAATTGAATTTCTTAAAAAAAACAAGCACAAAACCAACACCCAGAAATGTAGTGCCATTTCTAGGAAAAGAGGAAAGAAAGGCTCTGTGTGTGAAAATGACAATCATGCTACGCTGACTCTAATTCAGATACCAGCAAATACTTGCCAATACAGCTGTATGTACTATATCATGTCTGCTTTTGCAAGTGGCACTGCGGCTACTGAAGTTCTGCAGTTAAGGTGCAGTTTGAGCTGACCTGTGTCTGAAGAGTCAAATACAATTCTAGACTCAAGTATTAATAGAATAAACTTAATTTTATTTTTTTTTATAGGTGCAGCTGCATTTTCGATTTAATTATAGGCTCCCACAGTAGTAATTTTTCCGTGACCTACTCAATCTCAAAAGTCAGAAAATTGCTTCTTTTTTAAAGCTGACAATAGCACGGTATGTTTCCAAAGGAAAAAGACAAATTACAGCAAATCATTACTTTAAGCATATTTAAATAGCCAGGAAGAAATCCTAATTGAAAAGTTTGCTAAAATGTGAAAAAGTTAGTGGTGCTTTTTTTCTTTTTTAGAAAAAGATTATTCTCATGTTTGTAACATTGCAAGCTGCTTATGATATGATGCCTTTCCTTCCTCTGCTCACCCTCTACTTCTCCTTTTCTTTCTGATGAGGTTAGACACAATATTTTTAGGAAGCAAAAATTTTAAGTGGAGAGAAATTAAACAATGTTTTTAGGCAGCAAAAATTTTAAGTGGAGAGAAATTAGTCTGTAGATGTGTTTAATAATGTAATTTGGCTATTCCTTGTGAAGCTGAGACAAAGATAATGGGAATCTTTGTATTTCGTTGCATGGGCTCCAGACCAGTCTGTGAGGCTTTATTATCCAGTAGTAGCATTGCTGCCAATAATGGTATTCTAACCACAATTGTTCAGAAAGGAAAAAACAAAAGGTATCATAAAATAGACTTGACAGTCGTAAAATGCACCCTGGTCCTTCCAGAAATCTCCTCCCCAATAAACCTGTGCTCTTTTCCCATTATCTCCATTTTATCTCTTGTTGTTTCTTGCTTCTGAACTTTCCCCCAGCAGGGCGCTTTCCCTCTAGGATTGTGTCAGGGGTTTTGGCAGCTCATCCCCAGGGTATCTGCAGCAGGCCAGCCCCCAGAGAGCTGAGGCAGGACAGCCCCAGGCCCACAGGAGATTTTTAAGGGGTTGGTGAATGCAAACACCATGGGAGGAGATGAGATGGCCAGCAGGAACCACTGTTGACATTCCTTCATGGAAGAAAGGAGAAAAAGAAAGCTGGCACTGGAGTCCCTTCTGCTGCCATGAAATAACTGGAAAAAAGAGTTGTCTGTTAAGGTAGGTAGCCATGGTAATGTACCTTCAGCAATTTCCCCAAGGGAACTCACAGAAGAAGGTGTTGCTCTCCTGTATCTGCTGAAGTGCTTGAGTTCTTCCCCACCCCTGTGTTCTGCGTTTCCTATATTTAAATGAGTGAAGCTGTTAAAATTAGGCTCAGACCATGGTCCTGTGACAGAAAACAGTGGTTAGCATGATTCTTATTACAAAAACCCCAACCATTAGAGGGAAAATTTGCTGGATTTTTCACTTATTTTCCAGAAGGTCAGGTTTACCCATGTGCCTCTTCCCATAAGACACACAAAATTATCTAGCCCTTAGACCCAGAGCAGTGCAAAAGGACAGTGAAAGGGCTGGTTCCTGTGTGAGGGGCAGCTTGAAGTGAGCACAGGAGCAGCATTGCAGCCTCCATCTGCAGTCGTGATGGGCTGGTTGTCCCGCAGCTGTTCCAAGCTGGGATCCATCAGTCGCTCTCTTCTCTATCCTGGTGCTACTTCTCTTCTGGCTTGTACGTCAGAGGAGCTGTGTGCAAAACCAGTCGGCATCCAAGGATTCTTCTGGCAAGCAGTGTTTTTCATTTAAAGCCAAAATGAAAAATGAGGTAAAGTTTTTCATACTTGCCTGATTCTTTTTCTTTCTGTTACTTCTGTTTTCTTCACTTGTGTGAAAAAGGAGAGTTTAAGTATGAAGGAGGTGGATTTTTCTTGCTTTTTTTTTTGGTCTAATTTTTCAGTCATTTATGAGACTATGCTGTTGTGTTTTCTGACCCACCTGATCCCAGACCAG